GCGCTGCCACCTGCAGTGCACAATGTTTAGTCCCACCTCGCTAGTTGAGAGGAGCTCACACCGGTCTATAAGCCCCGCCGCAGCTACCGTGTTGAGCTCCTCTCTAAGCAGGCCTTTGTGGGCCTATTGCAAGTCTTCTACCCTGTGGGGCCTACTGGGCTGTACGGGCCTGCATCCTGGCCCAACTAGAGATTGGGTTTCTAGTCGTATGCAGGCCGTGACGGCCCAGTAGGCGAGCTGTTTTTGCTTTATTTCAAAAAAAAAATCCTTACCAACCGGGACTAAAGGTCCCCCAGGCCACGGCGCGCCTCGTGCCACGTGGTGGGCCTTTGGTCCCGGTTCATGTTGAATCTGGATTAAAGGGGGACCTTTAGTCCCCACTCTTTAGTACCGGTTCCAGAACTGGTACTAAAGGTCCTTACGAACCGGTACTAAAAGTCATTTTTCAACTAGTGACGGCTCAACATGTGAGTTGGCCTTATATGGTTTGGAGCAGGGGCCATTGTCCTGGTACTAATTCTTGGTCGACTTAGAAGTTGCAAGAGACAGGATTAAGGAAGGCATACATCACACTTTTTGACTTCAAGACATGCATGGTAACAATATTATGTACTTGCCTATGTTAATAAAATCAACATTTTCACGATCCATGTTTTCTTACTAGCTGAACAAGATTTTGCAGCAATAGATTTTTGTGACTTGCATTTGTTCATAGTCAGAAGGTACCTAACTGGCTATCACGAATTAACAACACATAAGGGAACCTAGAACTCCTACATCACAACACAATATGCTCATGAGATGTGGTCGTTTGGACTAACATGAAAGGTGCAACCAAATCACCATTCCGATTATATACGGGCCCGCTTTGAGCATGGGTGAACGAGCGGCGGAACCACTGGGCGGCGTACATTTCCTCTTTTTCTTTTTTTGCAGAATGGAGTTCATCCTGATTTTCATTAATGAAAGCCAATCTAGCACATAGGATGTGGTCCAAAGGATAAAAATCCGAGTTGAAGGACATACACATATCTTTCATACCAGTCCCACTAATAAAATATCTTGAGCACAACAAAACACAAACGATTTTAATCCAAACTTATGCTAGATAGTAAATATTCTACAAAAATGTGTCGACAGCTAAAACGAGATTTAACGTTGAAAATGAAGTGAGCACAGTTACCTTTGCCTCGGAGAACAGCAGCATGTAATGCATTTTGTCCACTTGGTCCAGAATATGAAATAGCCCCGCCGCTCAACTCGTAGAGTGTATTTGCGATGATTTTGTTTTCCAGTAAGATGGCCAAGTACAACGGCGAAGTACCTTGTTCAGGAAAACGGGCCAGTTGTGGGTTCACCCCCATGAACAACTTGACCATATCATTGTCCCCGGAGCGGACGGCCTCGTGCAAGGCTGTCTGCTTGTTCTTGTTTTGTGTTTCCAGCAGCCCCTTAGCATTGTTAACACCCTGACCATTGGCGAGATCAACAAGAAGAGACACCATTCGGATGTTCCCCGCCCGTGCAGCACAGTGCAGGGGTGTGTCTCCCTGGCTGTTCTGCACGAAGAGGAGGCTAGGTGCCTTGTCGAAGACGAGGCTGGCCTTCTTGGTGGAGTCCTCAGTGTCGCCATGGATGGCGGCGACCACGTGGAGAAGGGTGTCACCTCCAACAGTGACCGTGTACAAAGATGGTGGCTGCGTCGCCGAGCTTCCGATGGTGTAGGCTGCTGGTCTCCCGTTGAGGAGTGATTCCAGATCCTCGAAAGAGCCAGAGCAGGCCAGTGCTAGCAGCCCGGCGTCCATCTTGGGCTCCATGTTTGTCGCCGGCAGAAGAGCAGCATTTGCCACAACGGGTGAGACGGGGCTAGGAGCTGCCTGCCCGTGCCCGGTGGTCGACGCCATAGATCACCAACACGAACGGAACGGGGATGTAGATCTGGTGACGACAGGAAACAAGTGTTAAACTGTATATCGTTAGTATATAGGAGTCGGTTTATATCTGTACTTATCTCCTGTAACTACCTGTACATTGTGCCCTAGCTGCACCCTATAAATACATCTCCCCGGCCACCACATTGGTTGCGCCGATCCAATCTTCTTCATCTCTTGTTTCACATGGTATCAGGCCTACCCGCGTGATTGCATCATGGGCTCTCCTACGGCTTCCGCTTCCTCCTCCGCCGCCCTCACCACGCTCTCCCTGCCCGCTGCCTTCAATGGGCCGCCGGCCTCTGCCGTTCCCTCTCCCTCTGCCAGCCTCATCACCGCAAAGCTAACCACCTCCAACTTTCTCATCTGGAAGGCACAAGTTCTTCCTCTTCTCCGCATCGTTGGCGCCACGGGCTACGTCGATGGCACCATGCCACCTCCATCCAAGTTCCTGGATCCCGATGACAAGGGAGTGCGCGCCCCCAATCCGGAGTATGCCACCTGGTTCCGCCAGGATCAGATCGTCCTCAGCTACCTCATTGCCTCTATTTCTGATGAGGTACTGCAGCAAGTACATCAGCTGGAGACCTCTCGTGCCATCTGGTCGCACGTCGAGGAGATGTACACCATCCATTGCCGCGCCAGCATCGTCCAGATCAAGATGGACATGGCGGTCTTCAGGAAAGGAACCCTCTCCATGGCGGACTACTTCGCCAAGATCCGCGCCAACGCCGACCAGCTTGCAGCCGTCGGCCGCCCCATGCGCGACGAGGACATCATCACCGCCGTCATCATGGGCCTCGACAACGACTAGGAGCCCCTCATCACCGCGTACACCACTCGTCCCGAGGGCATGACGCTTGGTGAGTTCTACTCCCACGCGATCTCCTTCGACCGGCGCCGCCAATACAACGCTGCCCGTCTTCATGTGCAGCATGGCGGCTCCTCCGTCAACTATGTCGCTCGCGACTCCGCCGGCAACACCAACAACTCCAATCGCGGCAAGGGCAACTACCGCGGCAAGGGCCGCGACAACTCTGGAGACCGCGGTGGCTACAACAACAACTCCCGTGGCGGCGATCGCAGGAACCGCGGTGGTGGCGGCTCGCGCCAACAAGGCGATTTCGGTGGCAATCGCGGTGGTGATCGCGGTGACTACGACGACCATGGCGATCACCGTGTTCAGTGCCAGCTCTGCCGCGGTCCGGGGCACTACGCCTGGGAGTGTGGTCAGCGCTATAACCATGCGTTCCAGCCGTCACAGTCCAAGATGGCTGGCCTCGCTGCTGCGTCCCCTCCCTCCATCCTCGGTGATCCGGCCTGGTTCACTGACACCGGGGCCACGGACCACATCACGGGCGATCTGGATCGCCTGACGGTTCGGGAGAAGTACCCTGGACGAGATCGCATCCACACAGCAGACGGCTCAGGTTTGCACATAGCTCATCGTGGTCATGCAATTCTTCCTACTCCTTCTGCACACCTTAAACTTCGCAATATCTTACATGTTCCCAACGCTGACAAAAACCTTCTCTCTGTCAATCGCCTTGCTGTTGATAATCATGTGTATCTAAAGTATTATCCTACTCATTTTCTTATGAAGGATTTGACCACCAAGAAGGTTCTACTTCAAGGCGGATGTGAAAATGGGCTTTATCCCATTCGGCCATCAACTCATCATGCACTGTCTTCGTTTAGATTGTTAGCCGAGGATTGGAACGCAAGGCTCGGCCATCCATCCACCCAAGTCGTTCAACACATTTTATCTCGTCTAGTCGGTCTATGACCCATGTGTGTAATGCATGTCAACAAGGCAAAGCACACCAGCTTCCATTTCCTAGGTCTTCAAGTGTTTCCTCTTTTCCATTAGAACTTGTTTTTTCGGATGTGTGGGGACCTGCCAAAACATCATCTGGTGGGTTCCAGTACTATGTCTCATTTATTGATGATTATAGTAAATTTGTGTGGATTTATCTTCTTAAGAGAAAATGTGATGTGTTTGATGTTTTTCGTGACTTCCTTGCTCATGTTGAACGCCTCTTATCTCGCAAGATCCTATGTGTTCAATCTAATTGGGGTGGGGAATACGAGAAGCTTAGCAACACATTTTTTCGTCAACTTGGCATCATGCATCATGTTTCTTGTCCACACACACATCAACAAAACGGTTCCGCCGAACGGAAGCACCGTCACATTGTTGATATGGGACTTTCCTTATTATCACATGCGTCTATGCCACTACGTTTTTGGGATGAGGCCTATCTTTCAGCATGTTATCTCATTAATCGACTCCCTAGTCGTGTCATTGGCAATCTTAGCCCTATGGAAAAATTGTTCACCACCAAACCTGATTACACGTTGCTTCGCACGTTTGGATGTGCCTGTTGGCCAAACATGCGCCCCTACAATACACACAAACTTGCTTTTTGATCTCTTCAATGTGTTTTTGTTGGGTATAGCATTCGTCACAAAGGATATAAATGCCTTCATCTTCCTACATCACGTGTTTATATCTCTCGAGATGTCACGTTTGATGAAAAGGTTTTTCCTTTTGCCAGCCCCTCTGCCTCTCCCATACCACCTCGCGTTGCAGAACATACCATACTCCTTTTTCCGCATGACCAAATGAACTATGCTGCACCTGTTCTGGCTTCTAATCTGGATGCAGGGACTCCCTTGGCGCAGAAGATCCCAGGTGCGACAGGGGCGGCGTCCCATGCAGATCCGGGCACTGGATCCGGAGCAGATCCGCCCTCGGATCGCGCGGCCTCCGCTGCCAGCGACGCGCCAGACGCGCGTGGGGTGGCCAGTTCCCAATTGGGCCACGCGGCGGCTGCGGACGGCCCGGTCGGCTCGTCGCCCGCCTCGTCCCCCTCAGCAGCGGGGCCCGCCACTGGCCCGGCTCCCTCCCGATCCGACCCGCAGCTGGCGGCTGCCCACGTGTCGCCTCGCCAGTCCGTGGGCCGGCCCTCTCGTGCGACAGGCGCGTCGGCGCTGTCCGGTCCCTCCTCGGGATCGCAGCTGGATTCTCCTGCTGCACTTGCTGGCGGCGCAGGATCCCAGGAGGATCTGTGTCCCTCCCCATCTCCCGCGTCCGGATCTTCTGCGCCGTCCGGATCATCTGTGCATGAGACTCCTACACCTCCTGCGCATACAATGGTGACACGCACACGTGATAACACTCGCAAACTTCTGCAACGTACGGATGGTACAGTCAAATACGATCCGTCCAAGCGTGCGTTTCTGGCTTCTCGGGAACCCAGGGATCTTCGTGAAGCGCTGGCATCTCCTGCGTGGCGTGATGCTATGCAGTTTGAACTTGATGCCCTTCGCCACAATGGTGTTGGAAATATGCCCTAGAGGCAATAATAAATTAGTTATTATTATATTTCCTTGTTCATGATAATTGTCTTTTATTCATGCTATAACTGTATTATCCGGAAATCGTAATACACGTGTGAATACATAGACCACAATATGTCCCTAGTGAGCCTCTAGTTGACTAGCTCGTTGTGATCAACAGATAGTCATGGTTTCCTGGCTATGGACATTGGATGTCGTTGATAACGGGATCACATCATTAGGAGAATGATGTGATGGACAAGACCCAATCCTAAGCATAGCACAAAGATCGTGTAGTTCGTTTGCTAGAGCTTTTCTAATGTCAAGTATCTTTTCCTTAGACCATGCCTTCATTGGACTCATTGATGCTCCTTCTTGAGATATTTGACATTAGAAGTCCTACACCAATATGACTTACATGGCAGTGCCACAAGTAAGTGGTACTATCAATTACTTGAGATATTTGACATTAGAACTGCTTATCAAAGCAGTGCCACAAGTAAAGCAGTGACATATATGATGATCCTTGAGATATTCGCGATGTTTGACACCGCGAAAGTAGAAATCAAGAAGGAGCATCAATTGTTGATGGTTGGTGAAACCACTAGTCTCAAGAAGGGCAAGGGCAAGAAGGGATACTTCATGAAACAGCAAATCAGCTACCGCTCTAGTGAAGAAACCCAAAGGTTGAACCCAAACCCGAGACTGAGTGCTTCTGTAATAAGGGGAACAACCACTGGAGCAGAATTACCCTAGATACTTGGTAGATGAGAAGGCTGGCAAGGTCGATAGAAGTATATTGGATATACATTATGTCAATGTGTACTTTACTAGTACTCCTAGTAGCACCAAGGTATTAAGGTACCGGTTCGGTTGCTAAGTGTTAGTAACTCGAAATAAAAGGCTATGGAATAAACGGAGACTAGCTAAAGGTGAGCTGACGATATATGTTGGAATTGTTTCCAAGTTTGATGTGATCAAACATCGCACGCTCCCTCTACCATCAAGATTAGTATTAAACCTGAATGGTTTATTGAATCTCGATCGTAGTGATACACATTTTCATGCCAAAAGATATAAGATAGTAATGATAGTACCACTTACTTGTGGCACTGCCATGTAAGTCATATTGGTGTAAAACGCATGAAGAAGCTCCATGTTGATGGATCTTTGGGCTCACTCATTTTTGAAAAGTTTGAGACATGCGAACCATGTCTATTGGTGTATATGCATGAAGAAACTCCATGCAAATGGACCGTTGGAACTCACTTGATTTTGAATCACTTGAGACATGCAAATCATACCACATGGGCAAGATGACTGAAAAGCCTCGGTTTCAGTAAGATGGAACAAGATAGCAACTTGTTGGAAGTAACTCATTTTGATATGTGCAGTCCAATGAGTGCTGAGGCATGCAGTGAATATCGTTATGTTCTTACTTCACAGATGATTCGAGTAGATGTTGAGAATATTTACTTGATGAAACACAAGTCTGAATTATTGAATGGTTCAAGTAATTTCAGAGTGAAGTAGAAGATCATCGT